GCTCATATCCTGCATGTTCAGTCTCAGACCAGACGCCTCCTCTTCGGCCTGAACTTGCTTCAGCTCAGCAAGTTGAGCTCGGGCTTCAGCCGCTTCTGCCTTATCTGCTTTGCTCTGAATCTCATCATACATTTCCACAGCAAGGAAATGGTTGTGCACAGCCTGCAAAGACAACAATCGCAGCTTAGCAGCTAGCCGAAGTCCAACACTTAGAAGAATTTTCGCAAAAACAACGTAAAATAGAGAAAAAACAGTAAGTGTTGGAAGGTTACCTGCATCAGAACCCTCTGATTCTCCAGAAGAGGGTTCAGCACATTCTCCAAGGACTCAGCGGCCCCAGTGGCGGCACCAAGCATCCAGGCTCTGGCTCTCTCCAGGGCCGAAAGGTTTCTCAAGTTGCCGAAGTAGGAAAGAGGCGAGTCATGCCTATCCTCAAACACTGCCCGAGCATGCGCTAGAACAGGAACCATGGGCGCCAAGCCGAAACCCATCTCAGCGGATTGAAAAGTTCTGAAAGAGTCCGCAGCTGAGCTAGAGGGGATATCCCTAGGCTTGAGCACTTCAGCTTCAGCTAGCTGAGGCTCATTCTCATTAACAGCAAGCCCAGGATCATCAACCTAGACACCCAAAGCATCCGCCTCATGCCAATCCTCCTCAAAAAACGGCTCGGCGACATGGCGAGGAGGTGAAGAGCTAGTTTGCAGCTCAACCACCTCAACTACAACTTCCCAAGACGGGGAAGTGACTTCTGTGGGCGTCTCTTCCTGGACCTCCCCAAGCCGAGGCCTCTTAGCAGGTATCTCAGGTGCCCTGAACTGGCCAGGACGAACCAAGGGTCTTCTTCTCCCTCCAGCCATCGGTTCTTCAGGAGCAGGCTCGGGGACAGGGAAGGCTTCGGCTAAATCCTCTCTCTCTACTTCCACTTTGTCGGACTAAAGCAGAAGAGATAGAAGGGGGCAGATACATGTGTGAGCCTATAAAAAAAAAAAAAAAAAAAAAACACACACACACACACACATAAAGTATACACACAGGTCTCACAGCCGAAGCCTTATACTTAGCAAATTTACACAAGTCAGACAAATCACAACAAAAGATTGATAGAGTTTCTGCAATTATTCAAGTTCTAACATGCTGAACAAGTAGAATGAGACATGCATCCGAAGATTTATACTCGGCGAAAATTCTTACAAGTTAAGAAATCTGGGTATAACATGCATACTTAAGCTGAAGCTACACACTCAGAAAAATTGTAGAATTTCTTATGAATTAAAGTAGCCGAAGATCTGTACTTAGAGCAATTTCTCGCAAATTGAAAGTGCAGTAGGAAACTCACCGTAGTATCTAGCAAATACTCGTCGTTGTGGGCCTCTTCCTTATTTGCTTCCTCCCTTCCTGCCTCAGCAGCTGAGGCAGAGGGCCCTGCTTCGGTCTGCGGAGCTAAGGCGGCTTCAGCAGCAGCAACTTCTTCAGCCAAGTGGAGGAAGAAGGGGTCAATCTTCTGATGTCAGGCCTTCTGACTCTGATACTCTAAGGCACTGACAATTTCAAGTTTCCTCGGCTGGAGGGCAAGTGGCCGATCTTTAACCTCTGTTATCTTCGGCGTATTAGTGAGTGGTTCCCTCTCGTCGCTAATCCCGAGCACTTCGTAATCAATGCCCGAGTTCGCTTCGTACAACTCTGAAAAGTAAGAGAAAACGAAGATGAGTTCAGCTGAAAAAGTTAGTTTCATAAGTCAGCAAGCAAAAAAAAAAGAAGAAGAAAAAAGAGCATAAAAAGACTTCGGCCCCAGCCAAATTCCCCTTACCGCCTTGGTATCTTCGGCTGAGGCCGACGACAGCGAGAATCTTCTCCTGGAAGATGTAATGAAAACAGGGTAGCCAAGTGCTCGGCACGTTGGCCATTAAGCCAGTAACAGTCATTTTATTTCGGCCAAATAACTCCATTTGGCGATGATCAAGTTCATTGAACTCATCAGGGCCGATGCTTGAAATTCCGGGGTCTGGTTTTCTCAGGTAGCGGGGAGCCCCAAAATAATTCGGATAAGCTTCATCCGAGGGTACTCAGATCCAGATCCACTGCCCTCTCCAATTTTTATCCGATGTGTCGTTCGGATAAGATGTGAGAAATCCCTTCTCATCTTCTATCTGCCACCACCCTAGGCCATGCCATCGGCTAGATTGGGTGTTCGGCGTTAGTTTGTGAATGCACCGAAAACAGTGAACGCTCGGTTCAAATCCACAAAATAAACAGACCCAAAGATAGGTCATGATTCTTCGGACACTCAATGGGGTCAGCTGAGATAAGGATATGTTGTATCCATTCAGCAATTTGATTACGAAAGAGTGAACAGGAAATCGGAGCCCATTTTGCAATTGTCGGGTGTAGACCCCGATGTACCTAGGTGGGGGCCGATGAATACTGTCATCGGCAACAGGCATTCGGCGCCAGTACCCATCCTCTTCCATGATGCCGTAATATATCTCGAGTTGTTTCGGCGAAGTGGTACTAGGCGTCGTTCTCGACCCACCAAGAATAGGGCGTAGCCCTCATAATGCCTTCGTTATCATAGACCGAGGTACACTCCCGTTCTTCGGGAGTCAGCGGCCTGGATGCCGAAGCCATGCTTCGGCCAGAGGTACTGGCCTCAGCTGAATCCTTGGGTGGACAGTTGGACAAAGGCACTACCCTCAACCCACCGCCACTAGAAGTGGCGGCCTGAGCGACCCCAGCGTTAGGGTTTTGGTCGCTGAGAGGTGGCATCATCGCCAAAGGGCGATTCCGCCTCAGAATTAGCTGCGGCACCTCCTCCTCTTCCTCCTCGGCACTTGACTCGGGCCTGACAGGTTCTTTCCCACGGTTGCCGGCCATTTTCAGTTGGACGGAAGTTCGAAAAGTTTGAAAAAAAGGGAAAAGGAAAGATATTTCAAGAAGCAAAGAAAACCGAAGCAAATTGCTAAAAAATTACCTTCTTCAGACTCGGAATTCGCCGATCTACAAGCTCGGAGAATCGGATTTTGAGTTTAGGGCTTCGGATTGCAAGAAAATAGCGAGAGAAAAATTAAGGTGTTGCGCGTGTTTGGGAGACAATTGGATTTTGAGTGGCGAAGTGAAGATTAAGGGAATTCAAAACACTCTTAAATATATTTTGGGATGCAATTTCCGGAATTAAAGAGCAATAACCACCCACTAAACACTATTTCAATTCGTGGCTACTCAAATTCTTCCCACTTAATTGCAACCGCAAAATTAACTTCCCACTAAATTCTTTCCACTTCCCCATTACTCTCAATTAACTGTCATTGAAGTTAGTTAAGTGCAAATTAACGGTTATTAAACCGTACAAATTCCTCAAACAAAATTCAAATTATTTTCATTTATTTTCCCCTAAATCTCTCGGCAGCTGAAAACCCGACCCGTTATCCCCACGAATCGGGTTTGCGGGGCAAGTTGTTTGGGGTCCAAATAACTTGTATTTGGGCCCAGTCCACAAATGAAAATAAACAAAGCCCAATAGGCAAGGTCTAACCCTCTAACACATATGCCAAGTCAAAGTCAGCGGGGCCCAATCAGATGGCAGCCCAACTGATTCCTCAAGCCCACTCCATTCAATTGGAGTAAGGTATAAATACTCTCATTTTGCCTCACTTACTTTCATTCACAGATATTGCCTCAAGCAACAAACACTCTTGCATAGCAATTCTCTCTCCTTTTTACACTCGTACTGACTTCGGCATCGGAGGGGCCTTCCTCGGCACAACCCCCGAGGCCAGTTTAAGTTTGCTTAGCTGTGCAGGAAATCCCCAATTCGGTCATCACTCGAATTGGGCCTCATCTCCACTCATCCAAAGGACCTGCCGAAGGTCCCATTGTTTTTACCGAAACAGAAGGTAAATACTTGTGTGGGGCTTGGTGGGGTTCGCCGGCAAGGGTATTTGCTAGAGGTGGCTGTGTTGGGGTGGCGCTAGCGGTGGTTTGGGCGGCGCGGAGGAGAAAGAAAGGAACACGAGAAGGAGAAAGAACGGGGCAGAGAAGAGAGGGAGGATGTGGGGGTGTTCGTCTGGCAGCGCAAGGCTGCGTGTGGCTAGGTTAGGTGGTCGGAGGGGCGGGGAAGGTGTGGAGGCGCCAAGGCGGTGGTGGCAGCGGGATTGAAGAAGCAAGGGGAAGGGGGTGGCTGCCATGGGCTGGTTGAGGATTTTTTTATTTTTTTTTTATTTTTGTTAATTTTGCTCAATAAGGTAGTGACAAGTGGACTCTTTAGTCAGAAAACAGGCCGGAATAAGGGAAGGGTGGTAATTCCTACTGATTTTGGGTTTTGCAGGTAGTTTTTTTTAATTTCGTAAAAAATGAGTGCTTTTTTAGAAAAGTGGGGTATTTAGGGGTGGTTATTTTTTACAATATATATATATATATATATATATATTTGTTGAAATGATAACTATTTATGATTATTAACAATTAAGATTGATCATTATCAATGTAGTAGTAGTGAATTTTCCTTTATGTTTTATTTATGGGAATTTTCCTTTTTATTTTGGTTAATTAAAAATATTTTCTAATTTATTTTTTCTAAACTTGATTGAACTTTTGATTGGAATGTTAATTTTTCATTACATCAGCTAATATGTCAATTACCTTCAATTATTTTTTTTTTCTTTTTTAAATTAAAAGAATATAATGAATAAAGACCTTTCTCACTTCACCTTAAAAAAATAATATTCAATTAAAATAATTTCATTTCAACAAAAATAATTTCATTAGTTCAGTAAAAATCAGTAACTTTAATGAGAAATATAATAGAGAATTAGTAAAAAAATAATTTCAGTTCAGTTAAATTAATTTACGTTCATCAAAAATAATAATTTAAGCTCCATAAAAGCAAGGTGAAGTGAACAGGGCCTATGGGGCATTATGGATAGTTCAACAACACCAACTTTTTTCTTCCCCCCTCTCCCCTTCCTTTATATAATAGAGATTAACAAGATACCAAAACATGCATATACTTAGAAAGTTTACAAATAGCAATATATAATAACGATAATTGTGTAGAATTTTTTACACTATTACTTCCTACTACTGTCCACAAAAAAGCAGCAATACACATTACAAGCAGCAATAGCTGTAGCATATCAATGATTACAGTCACAGAATACCTATATAATTTTGATACCCAAGAGCAACCACAAGGTATGGATCGAATGACTAGTAAGCAGAAACAGGCATCCTCGCTTTCTCTGCCAAATTCTTTACGTACTCCTTTCTAACTGGATGATCCTCCTGTGGCCGATTATATGGTGTCCACACTGGTTCTCCTATGAAAAGCCTCATCAACTGCATGTTGTTCATAAGTATTCTCATTAAAATTACAATCATATCAGCAATGTCCATGATCCTTTACTGGTAATAAAGAGAGACAGTAGGTAACAAAGAGAGGGATGCAAAGCTCAACAGTAGTGAGACTATATTGTCACACAAAATTACTACTGTATACTACTTAGTATATACTTGCCTTCACATAGTTAGAGGTGTCAAGAGTGAAACGATGGTAAATTCCAGCAGGAAGTATGATCATATCACCCTTTTTAAGCCAGATCCGAATCCAACGGTCTGCCTTATCTCGTACATCAAAGTAGCCACTTCCCTCCAAGCAATAGCGTATCTCTTCATCTGCATGTATGTGTTCTGTGAAGAAGTTCTTCAGCTTCTGCTCATAATTCTCCACCTTTTCAGGGCACAAATCAAGAATATCCTGCACATCAGAATAAATCGTATGAGCCCCTAGTCCCTACAGAGAAAACAACCCTTGATTTAATCGGAAAAGCATAAGATAGAGGATGTAAACTTTGCAAAAGTTGGGTTCAAGACATGAAGTTCCATAACTCTGGTTTCAAGATCTACAATATATTTTTCATCAGATTTATGAACCTTTGCAGTTTCTTAATCACATGAGGTATGAATCAAAAATTCAAAATGAATCTAAATTAATCAGTTAAATAAAAATAAGATTAAATAATAAAATACACAATTCCAACCTCTCCCCCACCCCACCCCCCCCACCCCACCCCACCCTTCTGAACAAAAAGTAAAACACAGCTGCTGATTGCTGGAGTTACGTCTGCCCAGCTGCCCTGTCCAGCATATGTCAACTCCAAGCCAAGTGCGCTAGGAAAAAAAAGACTCCTCATAAGTGTCATAAGAATAGCTAGCCATTTGCAGGGTTCGTGATGAATTTTTTTTTAATTACTGGTATGGCCAAGAGCACTTGTAATTGTCACTAGTAGGTGTGTTGTTTTGAGTTCAAATGTAAAATTCTACAGAAAAGGAAACAATAAGTTAATATGCAATTGCATTCTACTTAGCAGTACGTTAAAGCTTCACAACTGTTGAAGAGCAAGTCTTCCAAGGAAAGAAATAATAGCGGCTTAGGCTCTTAGTCGTAGCAGTGTAGCTCCATACTTATGCTGAGAAGAAAAGAAACAAGAGAGCTGGTGGTGAAGACTGAAGAGCATCATCCAGCTGATTCAATCAGATGTCAATGTGTAAAACACTATATTATTGAGCAAAGAGCTCAGCAGAAATTGGAGAGATTTAGATTTTTACCTTGCTAAATTGGGACACCCTTTAATTTTCCCCCTATATTATAGATTTTGTACAACAACATTATACCATGTTAGCTAAGTACCAAGGACAACACACTTGATACAAATTGATATCATAGATGGATATCCTGCAGCATATTACAAAATTTACAGTACTCGCTACAGATTCACATGTAAAACCAGAATCATGAACTGCAGAGTACATAGTAACTCTTAACAAATTTAGAACAAAGTCGAATTTCTATTATTCTCTCTAGATTGTGCTTCAACTCCTCGCACCTTGACACCTACACTGCTACACACTCCTACAAACATACTAGTAAATCAACTCTTACATTCAAGACCTCAACCTTAATCTAAGCACTGAACCCAATGTAACTCCTAACTCTCAACATCCTAATCAGCACAATTAGCTAAAATTTTAAATACTACCTCCGTTTCAAATTATGTGCAATATTTACTAAAAACGAATGCTATTAATTATGTGCAACAAATGTTTTCTTTCATTTTTAAGTTGTCATTTCCTCTATCTCTTTCCTCATCACATGCATCTATATCTTTCTCTCTTCATTTAACACTCAAACAAATTTTACCTAGGAGTCCGTGTCAAGGCCTTTATTGCACATAACATGAAACGGAGGTAGTAGCATTTTTGCTTATATTACTTCTAGCAATCAACCCAATCTCATGTTGATTATCCCATAAAATTATTCGTAACCCACAATCTTGATGCAACATCAAAAAACAGATTGGAGCCAACTATCAATTATGCGATACATATACTCACCGAATTTCCAATCCAATAAGATCAACATCATTCCAGTATTTTTTAGTTTTGGTATTTTTTTTTATTTGCACTCAAAATCCATTATGGAACAATAATTTAGAAAACGCGACAACATTTTCCAAACATTCATTAATAGTACCTCCATTTTCCCCTGTTTGTCACATTTACCATTCATGTGGTCAAACAAAAAAAAAAATCATATCATATCATGAGTTAAACTCAAACATAATTGGTACATAAGAAGAAATATGATCAGGTCCGACTGAATTTATATTCAAAATATCAACTATTTATAAGTTACACTAGTATAACTTGTAATCACCAGTAATTAAATACTTCATATATTATAATTCAATCACGTGTATTGAAAACTATGCAAAAATAAAATGGAACAAAAACGTAAGATGTAACAGAGGCAGTAGTATAAGTGACTATTATTTCCGATATAGGGAGCAAACTTACCATATAGTTGTAACCCCTCTCATCTCTAATCTTCTTTAATTCAGGATCATTTTCATAGTCCTTAGCATTCAATTTCCAGTGTAAAACACCAATTTCTGCAACAAACCCCATTTATAACATCAATAAAATCCCAAAAATTCCCAGAAAAAAATAGAAAAAAAAAAAAATGAGAGGGAGAATTAACAGACCGGAAAGGGTATCAAGGGAGACAAATTCTTTTGGGTTTCGATGATGAGGAAGCCTTGGGTCCTCATTACTTTCATCCATATACCAAGCCTTCAAATTAATATTAATAATTAATTAAATCACATATTATTAATTTGAGATTATATATACAATTAAAAGTAGTAATTAATCATAATAATCAAAGGGAAAAGGGGTATTAAATTTGACGATGAATATATCTCACCTCGATTGCCATAGCTTCAGTTGAGTTTTGTAGAGGTGGGTTGGTAAATGAAGTAGGTTGATATATTTAGAAAAATGGATTATTAATTTTAATTAAGCTGAAAAATAATATAGAGGGATTATAAAATGTGAAGAGCATGAAATGGGACAAAAACTTATGAAAGTGTGTGGTTAATGTGGTGCTTCTAGTTTCTACGTTTAAAAAATCAGGTAAGAAAGTTAGCATGATGACATTTGGATGCTTAAAATTTGTGGAGGCTTCGTTTTCTCATGATTAATTTTAGTAGATGGATTTAAAAATTTTAAATGGACGTCTGTCATGAAAATGAAATTTGGTTGTGCATTTTGCTTGAGTTTGAGCTTGAGCTTTTGAGGGATTGAAAATTAGAGAGAAAGAGATCCAACTATTAGCAAGTTAGTTTATCATTATTATATTAATGAGGTTTTGACCTAGTGGCAAAGATTGAGTGCCTATATATCATACAGGGTAAGTTATATGTTCAAACCTACTCCCATGATCGTGTAAGCTTAGCTATAGGCGTGTTCGACAAAATATAGTTGTAAAGGTAGTTATTAATTGTGAAGATAGATAATTAAGGTATGAGGGTTTATTGGTAAAATAGCGATTGACTATCTATTACATATAAAAATTCATATTTTTTCCTAAACCTATAAATTAAATTTTCAACAACTACCTCTAACTTTAAAATCTAATATTTCTAGCTTTTGATAAAAGCTACCTTCACCACTAAACACTACCTCAGCCACTATATTGCCATATATTTTTTTGAATTTGGTTTGACTAACCACTAAAAGCTACTCAAAAGCTAATGCCAAACACGCCCTATATTGTGTTTCAAGGAAGCAACACCTCAAATCTAATTTGTTTTAGAAGACTTTGGCATCCTTATTCTACAAGCTTTCCCTAACGCCGTCACGTAGTGCTCGCTGATAAATACGCTCGCCGATAAAGATAAGCTAGGGTTAGGATTTTAATTTGGGAGAAGATTGGGTGTTCTTGGCCATTAGTTTCTTTGTTCCTCAAGTGAGAAAAGATTTAATTTTCACATCTGATAATTTTTAGAGAATTTCGGCAACATGTCATAACTATATTTATCACCACCGTTCTAGGGTTTGTAAGTTTCATCGAACTAAGAATAAAGGTAAAGATTGGGTAGGGTTTTTGTTTTTTTTAGGGTGTTATAATAGCATTTTATCCTCCTATTACATATATTCTCCTTGTTTTAATCGGTTAGGTTCTAAGTTTTTTAATGCTTAGTTTTGTTTAGACTTGGGCTTTTCCCTTAAACCTATAGTCTAGCTGACTGGCTTGCATGCCTAGAGCTTCAAGGGTCGGGGTCAATGTAGGTTGGGTTAAAGATGATCACATTTTGTAGGGTTAAAAGCGAGTTAGGCCGATGCATGTACAAGATCTAAAATATATATAGTCATGTAAAATCTTATTAAAATCATCTTAATGAATTACTTTTTAATATTAATTTATTACAATTTATACTACTCTATAATTGACAATTAATGTTTTTTTAAGGACGATAATTAAAGATATCACTATCAAAATTCCGCATCAAAAAGTACTAAAAGCATAAATGTAACAATTAGGGACTTAATAAAGACGTGAGGGAGCACCTAATAGTTAGAAGCTCACCAATAACATCACTTTCACCTTGTTAATTCATTCCAATCTAACCACCTTTCTTGCCTCCTTAATCTTTACCCATCCTCCACTTAAACACTACTAATAAATCAATAAATGGTAATCACATCATCTAATCAAAATCATGTAAATAAAATATCTTCCTAATATCTAACCTTCCTAAAACACACCAAAAACTCCCCATCTTAGATCTAATAATCTCAAACATCCTAAAAATCAATAATTACTCCGTTATTTTTCATTTCGATACACAAACATACACGAAAGCATAATAATCCCCCCATCTCAAAGACGAACCATCCCTATGGCCCTATAGCACCATTAATCCCATTATAAACACGCCAAAACAACATAACCATCTTGTACCAAAAGAACCAAAAATTAGAAACTTTTTTAAAAAAACACAACAACAACAACAATGTTGCAAAACCAACAACCACCATCACCACCACCAAGAGACAACTCCACAACCTTCTACTTCATAGCAGCCTCCTTCATTTTCTCTCTCCTCTTCTTCATCTCAACCACCACAACAACCACCACAACCGCCGCAACATCACCTGACCCACGCCTCTTTCCCAACCCTCAATATGTCCTCAACAACCCCAACTCACCCCCACTTCCTTCTGTCCCTTCAATTGCTTACTTCATCACCGGATCATCCGGTGACTATTCTAGAATCTTCCGGCTTCTTCTCTCTATTTACCACCCTAAAAATCTTTACTTGCTTCATCTTGACCGTTTTGCCCCTCAGTCTGACCGTGACCGTTTGTCTCTTAGGGTGCACGGCCTGCCCGTGGTCAAAGCTGCCCGGAATGTCCATGTTATTGGTAATGCTGATTTTGCTTACCCTAGAGGATCTTCCCCTATTGCTTCTTTGCTTAGGGGTGCTTCTATTTTGCTTAGGTTGAATTCTAATTGGGATTGGTTCATCAATTTATCTGCTCATGATTATCCCCTTGTTACTCAAGATGGTAAATTTCTACCTTTTGAATTTTAAATTTTTGTGGATTTTGCTTGGATGTTTGATTTACTAATGTTTTTTGTGATTTAATAATGGTTGATCTTGTGATTTATTGTTATTGGGTTTTCTCTGATTTGCTGCATTGATTGTTAATTTGGTCTAAGATACTAGTTTTGCTTTTTAAGCGCTAGGAAGTCGCAAAGAGTAGTGATGTAGATGGAATATGATCCGACGTTTTGTGTATTACCTTAGGACTTGAATTGACTAAGATACTAAGGTTTTGAAGTGTAGTTTTGTTGGGATTTCTCTGATTAGCTGCATTGATTGTTGTGTTGGGTGTATTGTCAGATACTAGGTTTGTTTCTTTTTTTTTTTTTTTTTTTTTTTTTTTTTTTTTTTTTTTTATGATCACATAGAGAGTCCCAAAGAGCAGTGATATAGACGGTATTTGATTATGGGGTGTTGGCTATTACACCCTGACTTTTACCCAGACTTTTGGTTTTGTTCAAATTTGCTGCTCATTTCGCGGTTCATTACCTAAAGATTACAACTTTGTGACAATTCTAGTTACATTGGATGAGGAGACTGTCGTTATCTTATTGATGTGTAATTTGGTTCAAGTTTTAATGTTAAACACTGATTGAGAATGTGGGTCTTTCAGGGTTTTGTTGCATATATGCCCTGATTGATTTGATAATTTGGTTCAAGTATTCAAACTTCTATTTAATTTTGATTTTGTTGTTATGATTCACATTTATCCAGATTTGTTGCACATATTGTCATACACGCCAAAAGACCTTAACTTTGTGAATCATACCAGCTACATTGGATGGAAAGAGTTAGTTACTTTCACTTGTTTTACATGATTCATTTGTTTGGTTGTTGATTAATTCCATTCACTTTTAGTAACTCTGGTTTCATGTGGCATTTTAGAGCTCGAAGGATGAAACCCATCATTGTGGATCCTGGACTTTATCTTGCAGAAAAGACTGGGATGTTTTATGCCACTCAAAAGCGGGAATTTCCCAGTGCTTATCAGTTGTTCTCAGGTGAGTCTGCAGCATCACTTGCATATTTCCAGAGCTCAAATACTAGTAAAAATTAAATCTAGTGCTCTTGGTTTGAGCTATTATAGATTTTCTTTCCTTTGAATTGCAAACCTTAGTCTATCGCTGCCTTAGTTGTTTTGTACTTCCGCCCCCCCCCCCCCACACACACACACTCACACTCACTCTCTTGAAAGAAGTACATAATGGGATTTAGTTTTGGTTAATTGAAGCTTCATAAGGGATCTCTTTCCTGCATTGTCTGTCTTTCCTCTGATGTTGCCAGATAATCAGGGCAAGAATCAGGGATAAGTATTGAAGCTTTGGTAGTATTCGTATTTTTTGAGAAAAGTTACTTGAGATTTTAGGCCAGAAAGTGGTTACATAGCTAGGACTCAAGGACTTAATAGCGGCTTGTTTGGATAATATTTTAGGAAGGGAATGAAGAAAACTGGGAGGGGAGCGGAAGGAAGAAAATCTGAGGGGAAACGAACTTTTTTGTCTTATTATAGAGAACAGTTCATCCATTTGAACTTGCTTTTCTTCATCAACAGAAGAAGAAAACCCACCAAATTGGAGCCCCAAAAAATTTGATTCTTTATCATTTACTACTGCCTACAACACCACAAGATCCTTTGCCACTTCCACAAAGACATTCACCTGAAGGTGAAGTTCATCATCAATCTCCTACCGCCAACAACACCACAAAATACTACCATTGCTGATGGCTGGGTGTGATAAAAAGTTTTCTTCACTCCTGAAATAGTTGTTAGTCTCTTAACTGAGGTTTAAGATATGTAGGTAGTTTCATCTTCAAAATTCTTGATTTGAAATTGGGGAAGTCATGAAAATTAAGAATGTCAATTATAAATCTAGGTTTCACATCTAAGAGAGACAAAGACAAAAAAAATGAAAAAGGGGTTATTTTTTTGGAAGAACTCAAGTGTTAATGGGAGAAAATTAAGATGTTGGTAAAGGTAATATTGTCGTTTCATGTTAATCGAATGTCTTATTCCCATTTTCTTTCCACATCTTCCCAATTTTGGAGAATTTTGTTTCTCAGAGAATATATAAACAAATTTCCTCCATTTTCCTCCCTTTCATATCTCTCACCTACATAATATACCATCCAAATTAGGGAAATTACATCCCTTATCCCTCTATCCAAACAATGTTCCCGTAAAGGGGATCATGTGAATTGACTTTAGATCCATAATCGGGGTACCTTCTGTCTGGTCTCAACTCTTATTAGACTTTCCTTGATCCTGATGTATGATATTCTCCAAAATGAGACTGATGCTATGGATGGTGATAATTATTGTTTACTTACTACATTTGTTCCCCTTTCCCTCCCTGTTCTTTTGTCAAAGTGTCTAGGCCTCTAGGATAAGCATTGAGAACTGCAAATTAAAAACACCTTCCCTCTGACATATACCTATTTGGCTATTTACTTGCTGCATGATGCCATGAACGGATGAATTATCTTGTACATTATTGTAGGTGCAACTAGGAGCATTGGCTCTTTGACATTTGTGCTGGAATGGCTTATATTCTGAATATTTTATTGATGGCATTTTTCTTGTTTAACTATATGAAAGTGATGAAACTGAAAGCTGTTTGT